TCAAATCAGCTAAACCCTCTATCGTTTCCAACCAATCTTCGGCTACGTGAGAAGGTTCCAATCCAGTAAAACATTTCACTGACTTATTGACGTCTGGGATGACACGAAACTCTATCGATTCATCATTTGTCTTAGTGTTCAATGGTGTCTCGTCATTTTTCACATTTACCAGTGCTAATTCATCTTCTAGCTGTTTGAGTTTAGCTCGTTGCTCGTTCACTAATTGGTACAATTCATTATACTTAGGTGCTGTAATTTCATCAACGTGATCACTCGACATCGTCACAACAAACGATTCGCTCAAGACTGACAAGAAAATCTTTGTGATAACAACGGCTTATCACATGTAAACATAACCAGCTTATCAGCTCTACTAGCGATGCAGTCATCGATTGACACACCGTAACGTCAACTTATGCGCCACCGTTACTTCCTCCGCACACTATTACCACTAAACCTCGTGGTTTCGCAACACCAGTAGCGACTAATGAATGTAATAAGCACCAACCGTCTTCTGTGTTAAAACAAAATCAAAACGGCAACTACACTCGCGAACTATGGATTTATGATCCCACTTCTGAAAATGTTACTAATAGGTTTTAAACGAAGACAAACGAATTGTACTTACTAAAGCAGTTTTATTAAAATGCATAAACAAATAACAACAAACATACGAACATTACGAACAGAGCCCACAACCGGTACTCTGCGACTGACTATAACCATGACTGAATGGTCAAGCCCTTTTCAAAAAACAGGGTAGCCAACAACTGTTTAATTGAATAGGACTATATAGTTTAGTTATATATTGTAATATTTCGAAGGTAAATTAATTTTATTTTATCCAATAAGTCTTTAACTTTTATTATGTTTGGTATACTTATATACTGTATTAAAGTAAAGTAATATTTACATATAATTTAATTATTTTTCTCCGACTTAAAATAGTTGCCAACACAGTACTTATATAGTGGTAGGTGAAGTGATATTCCGTCAACCAATTAAAATGTGGCTGCAGGTCGTATAGTTATGCTAAAGTTATAGTTGTATAGTTAGATTCTCTTTTACTTGCGTTAATAATTACGTGATTTTGTTCATCTAAGTATAAAAAAAAACAGTGGTATAAGAATTAAGAATGGGGCATAGTATAGGTATTCGTCTTTTACTATCGTATCAAAAAAATTATATCGTGTGTAGCCGTGTAGGTACTACAATAAATTGTATGAAATTATTATTCAGATTATAATGATAAATATCATATTATAATATTATAAACATTTTAAACATTCAGTAAATTTTTCATGTATCTGCAATTATTTGTTTTAGAATTACAACAAAATAACATAATCGTCACATGATAAATTTATCATTAATCGAGTGTATTCACTGATATTTCATGTTGTAAAAATATGAACTTTCAATGATCATAAAAATTTAATTTGACTTTCCGGTAGAGATTTTTTTGTTGATAAAGACAAACAAACTTATAAAAAATCTTGTATTGAATTTTCAAATCTTAGATTTAAAAAGAAAAATTTTTATGAATTTCTAAATAATTTGCACATTTTCGTGATTTTTACATGTTAAGTCAACATTTGAACTTTAACTACTCTTAAACAAAAATTGTGACCATGGATTTTTAATATTTTTCAAATTTCATTGTAACAATATATAAAGAGCCTTGTATTAAATTTTCAAGATTTTTTACCCAACAAATATAATTTTATTGACATTCATAGAAAAAATAACAAAAAAAATTGGAAACTGTAAATGTCCGTATACAGTTCAAAATACATCAAAATATTTTGAAAATGTTATGGTGCTTAGAAAATTAGGACCGCCGCCAACTCACCTTGCCGATGCATTTCCGCACGCGCAGGCACATGTCAATAATTTCCACATTGTCAAATATACGCCATGTTATTCACATGACAAAAATGACAAAAAGCTAGAAAAATTGTGAGAGTTGGATTCGATGGATTTTAATTTTGAAAATGGATATTAATTAGTTATTATGTAACATAATGACTAATTAATAATTTATGTTAGTTAGGGAATGGTCGAGGGGATTTTGTTTATACGAATTCTTCGATAAAATATTGACAATTTAAAAAATAATAATTTTTGGTATTTTATATATTTAAGTGCGTCATTATTTTTTGTAATAGGTAATGGTAATTTCTACGATCATGCTTGAGAAGAGTTGTTGACGATTTGCAATTAGTTTTAAAAATTAAAATCCGTCGAACCCAAGTCCCACAGTTTTGTCTAACTTTTGGCCTGTTTTACGTGATAACCTATACCTGCTCTGGATCGCGTTGGCCCCCTTAACGTAATTAAAATTAGTTATAGAACTATATAGGTGCACTTAGGATAGATTTGATACGTCAAATTTATTCAAAAACAGCTTTTAATTAAATAATTTACCAGCGGAAGGCCCATGGGCTTGTTTTATAATTATGTTTAAAATTTATACAAGACTAAATTCCTTTCAAAATTAAAATCCTAATACCACCAATGGTGATTGTAGTAAATATTAGAACTCCAGTGGCGGATCCAAGGCTTCATTTGGGGAGGGGGACATGTGGGGGGAAGTACAAAAAGTACATACATTTGCTACAAAATATACAGTGTAAAACAAAGGGAAAATACAGATTACCAAAACACAATACAACACGTCAACGCGACTGGTAACTGTCCTTGCCATTCTCTTATGTTCTTGTAACCTAACCAATACATGTATTATAATTTATAATATTATATTTTAATTTATTACTTGATAATATTTTAAGATATTGTATTTTATAAATTTGAACTTATCTACTTATATATTGTATTCTTGAATTCTAAATGTGTTCTTTAATGTCTTAATACAAACTAAATCTAAACTTAACATACATTATGTTGTTTAAAAACAGTTAGGTACCTACCTGTTTTTAATTTTGTTTTATTTTACCATAAGAAGTTATATCTAAGTACATATCCAAGTATAATTATTGAATTTGAGTAAAAGCATTAAAAAATTATAATTATGCAAGTAAAATGTATACCACATACCACAGTTTTTGATTTTTAAAAGGAAAAGATTAGTTGTGTAAAAAAATATTGATAAATCGTTATACCCATCATTTCAGTGGCGTATTTAGTATTTTAGTGTGGCCGAAGGGATTGTGACCTGTGTAGTAAACAGGCAAAGCTATATATGAATGGTAATTAATCTAGTAGCCCCCCCCCCCCATGGGAGATTTCCGGCTAAGATACTGCATAGTTTATGTCAATTGTAAAAAAATACAAAAAAATGGTTAAATATTCTTTTACCTAGATAAATTACATTTATCTATTATCTTTATTTATATACTTTAGGTATTTTTAATCTATTTATCTGTATTTAGATAAATTCCTATTGATAATCTATTATCTTTATCTAGATAATATTTTAGTTACCTATTGCCAACACTGTGTGTGACCGCGGCTGTAGCACAGATTATAAGTTATAACAAGCTCAAATCGGGTTTTCTGAGTATCCCCATGAGCGTCATAGGCGAAATGCGAATAAATAAAAAACATTTTTATAAGCTGAATTTCAAATTATTTTAAAGTTAAAAATGCATAAAGAGTTATATTTTTAAATCTAAAGTAAGAACATTTAAAGCAAGGTTCCTCACAAGTATTTCTGAAAGCTAAAAATCTATAAAATATAATTTGCTTATTTATAGGCATTTAAAATTTGATGAATTTTGAAGAAATTGGATATTTAAACATAAGATAACAATTTTAGTATTTTGTTGGAATTCAAATATATTACTGGAGACTTGAAACGTTTGCGTACATTACTATACACATTACACAATGATATTTTCAAAATATTTAGATTCATTTTAAGCTATTGCCTATTTATACTGTAATACCTATAATATAGTAAAATAAATTGAGCTGACAAACCAATCTCTGCGCAAGAATCATTTGTCGTATGCAATGAATTATCATTGAATTCAAATTTAACACATACTACATTATAGTGACCTACTCAATTATAATGTACACCCAACTCCTAATGTATACAGCAGAGCAGTTACCTACTTGATTACTTTTTCTTACGGTAGCATTCCATGCACTCAATTGCTCATATTTTTTCATATAGAAAAGTTAAAACATTGATATACATGAAAGAGCACGGAAAATTATTTAATAGCGGCTGTCACATAAAATCTATTTAGAACATGTCTGAGGAAGTGGTGCGAGTGTACGACCACCAATTTTCATGTGGCCTACTATAACCATAAATCATAAATGTACCTAATAACATATAATATTAATGTAATGACATCTAATACAATATGAAAATAAAAATAGTCAATTTACAAATAATAAACAAAAAGTGAAATTCAAAAGTTTGTTAGTTATTTTACTTTTCAATTACAATTTATACACAAGTTACGATATATAATATTTAATTGTTGACACATAACATAATTAAACTTTACCGTTTGAGATGTATTACGATTTCTTATAAAATTTTAAATATCCGGATAAAGTATGGTAAAACAATAAAATAAACAGTCCAATTATTTCAAAATAATTATATTACTTATATTATGACAATATGGTTTTTCCTAACTAATAAACACACTTTTTGGAATGTGTTGGAACAAAACAAAAAAAATATTTATAAATATAATTATGTATAAATATATTTATATGGGTGTCATAGGCTATTTTTTTTTTAGCCTTAACCTTAAGTCTGAAAAGAACAAAACTTTTTTTTGATACAAGCACTAACAAAAGTCGAAAAAAAAAACAACAATATTTCAAACATTTACAACAACACAATAAACTCTACACTCATTTGTATAATGATGATCGCAACAAAAATCATTTGTGCGGGTTTTAAAAATGTAATTCTGTTCAATTTATGTATAAAAAAATATTTAAATTACTTCCATACCTATGAAATGATTAGCTTAACGGTTTATCTTAAATGCTTTAGTCAGATATCCACATTACTTAGACAGAAATGATGAAGAGATTATCTGTGCCACGGAGTTGGCCGATTCACCTTTCACTATTTGTCTGTGATCTCCCGAAACAGAATGAATGTTTAAAGAACCCTTGCAAAGCTGCAAAATTAAAAAAAAAATATAATTTTGTTATAACTAAGTGTTTGTATAGGTAAATTATAATAATTATACATACAGGTTTAAGTCCATAGTCAGGTCCAAGGGATACAAAATTGTCTTTGGCTGTAACCAAGGTGACGCTTCCATTGAATTTCTGTTCAGGTTTGTAGTAGAACGAAACAAACAGTTTTCCATGGAACAGTTTAGCTGCAGTTTTCAGTTCATCTTTGTTTAAGGGTAAATCAGATAAGATATTCACTGCCTCTTCTAGTTGTTCTTCTTTTGTCGTTTTAGTGGCAATTTGGTCAAAGACCTAAATTTAAAATAAAATTCCAAGTTTAGAAATAATTTAAAAGATTTGACTATGAAGGATATATTAAAAAACTAGAAAAAACAAAACAATGTCAATTAACTAATAAGAAATAATATTATAAGGATATACAATTATTTTAATAAATATCAATTTACCACTTGGTAGTCTAATTCCTTGAAGAGTAATACAAAGTATGCAAAAGCATCCCTGTCATCTACTTTGTTATCAGAATGACGGTTTTTAAATGCATTTTGATGCGTCAAAACATAAGATGGAGAACCATCCAACAGTACAAGGCTAACTTTGTCACCAGCAGCTTCTAGTGCTACACCAGTTTCAAACGCAACTGATGCACCAAATGAGTATCCTACGAGGTTGTATGGCCCAGACTTTTGGATTCCTTTAATTTTCTAAAAAAAATGAGGAAACACATCAGTTTCTACCTTCAAGCACTAAAGTTCCAACAACTTACAGCTACAAAGAATTTGGCCATAGACGCCATTGAATCAGTTGGAGCATCTTCAGTACATTGCAGTCCATAAATATTATAAGGTAATTTAGATGCTACTTCTTCAAGTGCTGAAACAAAACCTTCAATTGCACTAAACATAAACACATTAGGCTTGCTAATTTCTTCCTTCTTCATACTGACAACAGTTTCTTGAGGAACTAAACTTTGACTGAATTCAACCTAAAAACAGAACATTTTGAATTTAATACAAAGTAATTATTATAAAATAATCGATAATGGCACCAACCTGATCGTTTCCAGCAGTCACGCTATTAGGTGTTTCTACAGGAACTTCACTACCATCACTTTGAAATTCTTTTAATCTCTTAACAGTTAAAGTTCTGATTTCTCCAACACTCAACACCAAATCGTAGTTTCTTTCAAGTGTTTGTTTAATTTCAGCTCCCATCAAGGAGTCCATACCCAGATCAGCTAGAGTTGCTGCAGCGTTGATATTTTTGGTGTCTTTGATACCAAGAATATTGGCAACGGCTTCAATTAGGCTCACTTGTCCGGCACCACCAGAACCACCCTTCCTTTTCTCAGCCAATACCATAGAAGCCAAGACAGGTTGTGGATGTTGCAAAAATACATCAAAAGCACTCAAACATGAAGCCATACGCTGTGGTAACGTACCACCAACAACTGTTTCATTTCCTCCCATTGTTTCCATGATAAGACCAACATCTCCAATAGCTCCCCATTGAATAGCCAACTAGTAACAATAAGTGAATTATTAATATAAAATGTAATTAGTTTTAATATGTAACATATTGGGTGATTTATTTATTTTTTTTTTTTGATCTTAAGCCAAGCGACTATAACCATCAGCTGTTTTGGTTTTGTAGGTTTTTATGTTGGTAGGGGGAGGAACACATGTGTGTTTTTTTGGCAGAATTTCAATTAGGCACCCGTAGGTTTCTGCCATGCCAGGTTGGGGGATGGTGGCCTACTGGCTTCTCTCTCCAGACAGATGTCTACCTGGAGAGAAGTGCAGCCCGTGACCGAGATTCAAACAGGCAAAGGTGTGCCTTAGTCCGTTCGGCCACTCTGTCTCCCGTAACATATTATTACATTATTTATTTAATAATATTGATATCAACATACCCCTGGGAGACCAGCTTCTTGTCTAGCTTCACAAATTCTTTCCATGACAGAATTAGCAAAACCATAGTTGGTTTGCCCAGCATTACCACGTCCACAAGATACAGATGAGAACACAACAAAGTGATCGAGCTCGGGGCAAGACTTCCTGGTAACTGTGTCTAAGTTTTTAGTACCAATTACTTTGGGTTTGCTCACAATTTCAAAATCTTGTGGTGTTTGATTTTCTAAGAATGCATCTCTCAATACCTTAAAATCATTAATTATCAATTATATATTATCATAATAAATAAAAACAAAAATTATTTGCAAATTTACGCATACAAATTGTTTTAACTTATTAAAATTACTTACAGCAGCCAAGTTGAATACACCTCCAACTGGTCCCAATTTGTTACTGTCATCAATCAATTGTTGAGCTCCTTTTAATGTTGAACAATCTGCCTTGGAGATCAATATATTAACACCAGATTCTTTCCAATTGCTAACGCATGCAGCTTGATAACCAGTGGTGATTCCACTTCTAGCAGTCAGAACAAGGTTTTTGGCTCCTCTGACAATCAACCAATTAGCTAATTCCAACCCAAAACCTCCAAGACCTCCAACAAGCACATATGTTTTGTCTGGGTTCATGTAAGACCGTGGAATTGAAGTTACTAGTTTGGTTGCAGGCTTAACAACTGCTGTTGATTCTTCGTCTCTGATTTTCAGTACTACTTTTCCAATATGTTTACCAGAGCCAATATATCTGAACGCTTGCTCAACTTGAGATTCAGTGAATACTGTGGCTGGTAGAGGATTTACTGCGCCATTCTTTATACCCTCGTTTAGCAACCTTACAACTTCTTTCTTGTCTTCGCTTTCGGATTTGGCATCAAACAAAGAGTCCAATAGAATTCCGTGGAATGTAGTATTTTTCAAGAAAACAGACATTCCTAGTGGACTGTTGTTGGACAAATCAAGTTTACCAATTTCCAGGAAACGACCATCTTTAGCTAGACAACGAACAGATGCTTGGAGTTTATCATCTGACAACGAATTCAGGACAAGATCTACACCACGGCCTTTTGTCTCTCTTAATACATGTTGTTCAAAACTCGTGTCACGGGAATTGGCAATATTTTTGTCAGTTAACTAAAAAAACGTATTAATTATATAGACAAATATTTTGGAATAGGATTATAATTATACCTTAGGGAAAGTCTTTTTCAAGAATTCTCTCTTTTGTTTACTACCAACAGTAGTATAAACGGTAACGCCCATATGTAGAGCAATAGCAATAGCTGCTTGACCTACACCTCCAGTACCAGCGTGAACTAACAATGAGTTACCTGGCTTCATTCGTCCTCTAACACAGAGAGCATAGTAGGCCTAGAAAAAAAAAAATGGAAATGTTTATACGTCTTTATACTTATTTATTGCTAACAGAAATTCAGTGACTTACAGTTCCGTAAACAACGGGAATAGTAGATGCTTCTTCCAATGTCCATTTGCTAGGTACTTCCCACAAGAATCCAGGATCAGCGAGAACACTTGTGGCCAATCCTCTAGCAGCAAGCATACCCATCACCCTTGTACCTTTGGAGTTACGACCAGAGAATTCAAGTCCAAGAATGCAGTCCTGAAATAAATAATATAGTATAAAAATGTCTGAATGTTGTCAATAAATATAAATTGTTAAGAGGATGTCAGCTCAATTTCTCAATCCTAAAAATTCAACATAGATCAAATGCATTCATATAAAACGTTTTTTTCCGCCGTACGAGTCTAAGATCAAATATTAAAAAGTTTTTTGAGGGATTTAACATTGGATTTATATTTTATAATTATTTATGATGAACTTTAAAAAATAAATTTCACTTTAAATAGATATTAGATTGTCATAAGACAAATCAATGCCAGGTGATTTTACTAAGATACTCAAAAACATAAAAAAAAATATTTTTCTGTGAATGAATTTTGTCTTTGTGGTGCGTTGACTAGTGATAGAAAACTTACAGTGCACCGAGTACTGACATCCTATTAATTAATAATATAACATACTTGTCCTGCCAAATCACCAGGCAATGCATCAGGAGGAAGTTTTCCAGATGCTAACATAATATCACGGAAGTTGAGTGGTGCGTAGTAAACAGTACACAATTCAGTATTTGGGTTGTATTCCGGTCTAAAATTATAATGCTTGTAATCAAAAAACTTTTGTGTTCAACAATAAATACTCACTTGTAATAAGTCAAGGGTCCTTCAATCCATTTCAAACTACTCAAATCTCCTCTTGTCAAAGCATTAATATAAGCATGCTCTACTTGTAACGAGGGCTTATCCTGTTGGTTTTCTAATTTCAAATGTCTCATTGAACCCCACACTCCATTAGGCTTCAAAACATTGCTCAATAAATCTTTTTTCAACTGTGCCGCATACAGGGGAGCGGTTAAAGAGAATTTTGGTGCAGCCGGATCTTTAATGAAGACTGATCTGACACTGTTACCACCAGGTTCTTGTTTGACACAATTAACCAAACCGACAATTCCATTAGTGTCTTCTCCTTGAGCGAACAACACTATTTTCTTGCTTGGGTCAGCTTCTGCAGTTTTTAGAGCTGATTTTAATGTCTCAACCCACTCGTAAGATTTTTCAGACACTTGGATAACTTCACTAACTGGTAGTTCTTCACTAGGCTGAATAACAAATAGAAACAGTTAAGAATAGTTAAGTCAATATAATCAAGCAAGTGATTTAATTACATAGAGTTATTGAAAACTAATTTAATAGCAACTTTACCTTTCTCAACAAGTAGAAGGTTCTATCTTCAGCAGATAACTTGCTGATAAACACAAGATTACTATTTTCAATGAGGCTTTGAGACGCATTACTAGATTCAGAAAGAAGGACAAAGCCACCATCTTTAACTGTCTCTGCCAAGTTGTTCAATTTGTTTTGTGATTGTAACACATCAAAAGCAATTGCTACATGAGCGTTAGATTCAATAGGACCATTTTCTAATGATTTTCCAATCATTTTCACTTCCATCGGTCCCAAGAATGGAGCCAAGGCTTGTATTTGAGTGGTAGCTAAGGTTGCATCCAACTTAAAAAATAAATGAAATGTTACTTGAGCACTTTTTAGGCACAAAATGTTATGCTTCAATACTTACAGATATTAAAGGTTCAGATTCCAGAATGTTGACGACATTAGGCATATAAATTCCTTCAAATGGTTTGTCTGCTCCATATTCAACAACTTTTACTTTCATTGCACCAGCACTATTTTCCAAGGCAATCTGGAGGTAAGCAGCGAAAACACTTGAGATGTCTGTTACGGGTGAAGCCTGTAAAGAATATTCATTATATTATTAATATTTGGAATTTTAAATATAGCTGAGGTCGAGAAGTTGTATGTAATTTAATGTGCATTAAACAACAAAACCTTACAAAATAAAAAGATTTAGTGCCGATAATTTAGAATTGATAAAATTACCTTATCAGCATTGTATGGTACAAATGTATACTTTTCCAATTTAGGGGGAGCTTGTGATTGTTGTCTTCTTGGAGCCAAACTTGCTTTCATGCCACGCAATTCAATACCACCAGATTTGATGACATCAATATCTCTGTACATGTATACCGGGACAGCTAAAAAAAAGTAAAAATACTTAATGTTATGAACAATTGTACCATACACAAATAATGTAAGTTTTAAGTTAAAAACACTTACGGCTATTTTCTGGTAAAGTTTCAATGAATTCCAAATGTTTTGCTGGGTCAATAATAACTCTTTGCATTCTTGTTGGCAAATACAATTCTTTAGTTTTCAAACCCAAAATAGAGAACTGCAACATCGTATCAATGTAGGTGATCCAGTTTCCAATCCAATCCAGTTTTCCACTGATGCCTAAATTTTAAAATTATTAAGGATTATTATATTATTATTTACACAAGGATTTACACTACAATTATTAACACATTTAGGACGAAGACCGTGTTTTTGAAGATTTTTTTAAGATAATATTATCTTAAAAAATAATTGTTTAGTCGTCAACGTGTTAACTTGGATGTTTTGTTGTTTTGACTAAAAATAAATATTTACTAATAACCTTTGTTATCAGCTTCGTTAACTCCACGGAACACTCCTTTGTAGTCATATCCTCTTAATCCCAAATCTTTGTAGATGTCTGCCGATTTAAGAGATAAATTATTTTCGTCGACATATGGTTCAGGTAATTCTAATTGTTCTGTTTCAATATCATCAGGAATGTAGATCCGGCCAGTAACAGCAACTGAGCCACCTTCACAAATCTCAAAATTGCCAGTTCCTTCAAAAATGTTGATGAGGAAGTTAACGTTTCCTGTGAAATAATAAAAAGAAGAACTGTAAATTAATCAAGATATAATTTATAAAGCCTAACCTAACATAATTTATATCATAATATGTACTTCCCATTAGTATCTGATAATTTTAGGTTCAAGCTTTCATTATAAATATATTATCTTATTGTGTATTATATAATATTAACTTATAATATTTACCATCTTTAGGCATTATAGTTGCACGTAAAAATTGTACATTTTCAATAACAACTGGAAATTCTTCGATGTTTTTATCTTGAAGTTTAGCAAAAGTTCTCCATACAAGTGTCTAAAAAAATTACAATCGTACATTCAAAGTAATTCAAGATATTTAAAAATTATTTTTATCTTACCAAATATCCAGTAGCAGGGAATAATACTCTACCATCAATGGCATGTCCAGACAAATATTGGTCTTCTTCTGTACTCAAATCAACTTTAATAACAGATTCTCCGGATCCAGCTTCCTATGATTCATTATTTCAAAAGTAAAAATTTAACTACTAATGATTAATACAAAAAAAATGTTTAGTTTTCATAAACAAGTAAAATATTTTTAATTTACCTTTTGAACAAAATCGGAAACAAACCATTCAACAGAATGATCCCATTCGACTAATGACTGAATCATAGGCGTTCCTTTTGCTACTGGATATGAGACAGCTGGGTATAGGTTTTTAATTTTAGGTTGAATTCCAGCATTGTACAGTCTAAAATCATCAAAATTATAAGCATCATATCTTTGATTTCTTAAATCTATATATATAATTACAACTTACTTTCCAATTGCTGATAACAAAACAGAAATATTTCCCTCGGGGTTTGTTGAACGCTTAGTAAGACCAATACAAGAGCACTCAGGTCCTAATGCCCTTTTAAGAATGGCTTGAAGTAATGCATGTGGTGCGATTTCAATGACAACAGCGTCTTTTGGCACATGAGCAAGAGCTTCCTAAAATAAATAAAAATATAGAAATTCTGTAAAATATGTACTACATAGAAAAAAAAATCAATTTAATTATCTTACATGGAATAAGACTGGAGCCAATAAGTTGTTTACATGGTAAGCAGTTGAACTCATTTGAGCAAGTGGAGTGTTCCATAAAGCTTCAGGAATGGAAGAACTGATCCATCGGGAGGTACGAGGTTTTGGATTCGGTAAAATCTATTGTAAAACAAAATATTAATTTTTTAATTTTTCAAATAATTAATAGAAGAATAAAATATAATATCCATTTTATATACACGGATTAAAAATTATGAAAACAAATACTTACTCTTTCTAAGCTGTTACGGAGCTTAGGTGCAGCATCAGCAATGTATTTGGAATGGAAAGCATATCCAGAACTCTTGACTTCTTTAGCAAAAATTCCTTCGGCTTGTAAAGTTTTGACAAAAGCAGTAAGACTTGATGGTGGGCCAGACACTGTTACACTATCTTCACTATTATGACAAGCAGCGACCAAGTCAACAGGCAATCGTTTTTTAGTATCTTCCCATGATAAACCTAAAAATTATTTTTTTTATATTATTTTATGTAAAATCAATCGTATAAAGTATACCTAAACCATAATAATTAATAAACATATTTAAATTTAACTTACCAACAGCAGCCATGGATCCTTGAGGCAATTTAGATTCCAAAATGCTACGACCTCTCCAGAATGCAGCTAAAATTGCTTGATCGGCATTAAATGTACCATCAGCGTATGCACAACCAAGTTCACCAACTGAGTGGCCAACGACACCATCTGGTTCAATTCCAATTGATTTCAATAAATCGACTAAAGCAACCTTTAAGACACAACAAAATTAATTATCGAAATATTTGTTTATAATTCTAATACTAACCTGCATGGATGTTATAGATACAAATGAGTTGAGGACATTGTCAAATGTTGTTTCGTCTTTTGAGTTAAGAATGCTTAGCAAATCTAGTCCTTCAACTTGAAGTACAGATGCAGCTCTGTTAATTGCCTTGGCAAATGGTTCCAATTGAAGGAGCCCTTCAACCATACCAGCCCATTGACTTCCCATTCCAGAGAAAACAAACCAAACTGGTCTTTTAGAAGGCTTAACTTCCTGAAAATGCATTTATACAATAATAAAAATATATACAATATAAATAACTTAAGTTTTTTGAATAACGTTTAAAATTAAAATAACGTACTGTCACTTCAGAGATTGATTTTCCAAGGACTGTGTATCCTCTATAACCATGTCCACTAATATTGTTAGCATGGATATCATGTAATAAAGCATTAAACCCATCATCTAATGGTGTATCAGCAATCTAATAAAATTACATATAATTAATAATTAAAATTATAAATTGAAGTCTATAAAGGAATTTACTTTTTTTAACATGTTGTTCACTGCATCATCTGTTCTTCCAGATACGGCAATCAAACGTGGTACATTATTAAGAATTGGAGCAGTCTTTGGCTTAGGATTAGACTTCAATAAAACATGAGCATTAGCGCCACCAAAACCAAAAGAGTTAAGCGCTACATAGCCTCCGCTGTAGTCCCAGTTTTTGTTCACAACCTGTAAATTTAAGTAATATAATAAGTAATTCTTTTTTTATTAAATAATTAATATAATATAAAATTACTTGTAATCTTCCATCTAATAAAGCTGGAACGTCAGGGTTTGGGTTGGCAAAGTGAAGATTTCCGGGAATCTTTCCAGATTCTAAGGCAATTATGATTTTAGCTAATGAACAAAGACCAGAAGCAGGTTCAGAATGGCCCATGTTTGATTTAACAGAACCAATTAACAGAGGTGTGGTACGATCTTTAGTAAAAAATTCAGCAATAGAATTAACTTCTTGTGGATCACCAACCTACATGTAAACATTATTGGTTATAAAGTGCTACTTATATTTCTTAAAAACAAATTGCCATACTTTGGTTCCTGTTCCGTGCGCTTCCACATATGATACCTCAGCTGGATTAACACCACATTTAGCATACACTTCTTGGATAAGTTTGTTTTGCATGGCACCACTTGGGAATGTAATTCCTTGGTCTTTAAATCCATCAGTGTTAGTAAGTGCTCCCACAATGGTGGCATAACTACGTTTTGCTAAACTAGCCTTTTGCAAGAATACTGCGACAACAGCCTCACTCCTCACATATCCATTTCCTAAAATAAAAATTTAAATGCTTGTAAAAAAATGTCTTTTCTTACCATAAATACCAATTGATTTACCTGTGACATCGAATGCTTTGCACATTCCTTGTGGCGATAACATGCTCAATCTATGAAAATTCAATGAAGTTGTAGGTTTCAGCAATAAGTTGCAGCCTCCTACAATAGCTGCATCACACTGCCCGTTTTCAATAGCTTGCACTGCTTGTGACATTGCAACCAAACTGCTGGAACATGCTGTGTCTATGGCAAAACTGGGTCCATTAAAATCAAATGTGTATGAGATTCTGTTGGCAAACATAGCCCGGCAACATCCAGTCAATCCATAACCATTGACACGTTCTGGCAGTTTACTCAAATAATCGTCAGTTTCACTGTTGGATGCACCAATGTAAACTCCGATTTTAGTTCCACGGACATCATCTGGGTTCACGCCTATTTAAACAAATTTATATTATATTTAATAACTTATGTGGTTTATTTTTAAATAGGTAGTTCATATTGAACAAAAAAAAAACAATTATCTTACCAGCATCCACAATACATTCGTAAGTAGATTCCAAAAGTAATCTCAGTTGTGGGTCCATAACATCAGCCTGTTTAGCATGCACTCCAAAGAAATTGGAATCAAAATATTCCAATCCCTTGAGTTTACCAGTTCTTGTTGGGAGGCCATACATACCTGGAATAAATTATTTTAAAAGCATAAATAAATGTTATTTGTAAAGTGACGTATAGATATAGAACACAAATAATGTACTATTTTACTTACCAGCTGGCCAACGACGATCATCGTCTGTAACCATATCAAGGCCATCATACAGATTCTCCCTGAACTCTGCAATTGAATTTGATTCTGGAAGACGTCCGGAAATACCACTGATGACTATCTCTTCTTTTCCAGAGTATGGAGAGTTACCATTCACAGCACCATTGCTGGTTTGTTGTTGGTTATCCTGTGGGAATCTTGCTGGCATTGTGCCTTCAGCTACTGAAATAATTTTTAAACAATTTATTGGTAATACTAGAATAAAATAATTGGTTTTATATTAGATAAAACTATAGAAGTATAGAACCCCCCCACTAAATAATGATACAACTATTAATATTAACTATATAGTATATACCTATCTCATAATAATATATCTGAAGATATTGGTACAAACATAATATTAATTAATATTGTATAAAACAAACTGTTTAACCAAACATAGGTAGGTATCTCTACAGGCATCTAATTGAAATTTGTTATTTTCATAAACAATATATTTAACTTAAATTCGAGCTTAAATTATACCTATCGGCTATCACTATTCACTATAAATGAAAATTATAATTTGTTTACATTTAAGTACCTACACTAACTTCACAACGCAAACCAAGGAACAATCTTAGAAAAAACAAAATTCAGCAGACTCAGATACATTAACTTTGTGACACAATTTTTTACTTTTTATATTCATAGACAATAATTACTGTATTAACAAGATCAAATTCCGTTTACATGGCAGTCGATAAAAATATTAGACCTTTACTTATTTATTGTCGGGTAGGTGGTCACTAGGCGACTACAAAATTGATTTTTAATTCAGGATTTGTTCATTTGTTCACCATACTTTAAAGCATTAACTCCAGTGTTTTATGTAAAGAAAAATTAAAAACATTGTAATTTGTAAAATTGATCAACTTGTCATTAGAAACCTTGTTAGAAACAAACATCTAGGAGTTTAGAGTAGAAGGTACCAACATTTACTACAGGAACACTATATTTTATAGTAACCTAATGAAAATGGAATCATATTAAATATTTTAAAACGCGATTACTATATATTACCAATATTAATGTATAATTTTATGTTGATATAATATACTAAAATTGTGGTTCAGGCAAATATTTGTAGTGTACAATTTATTTTATGTACCTATCCATGTATCTCCCATATTAATTATTCATATTTCACGTTCACTACATAATACAATATATAAGAAAAATAATACTGTAAGATTATACATATTATAGAATTCAGTTGCAAAATATTAATAGCTAATAATATAAGGTCAAACTAGATGCCTAGATCAGGTTATTGTTCAACAATAATAATTTATTAAAATCTATTAAAAGTTTCAATGTTAAGTACACAGATTTTCCGAGATTAGGTATGTATTTGTTACGATGTTTAAAATATCCACAACCTTGAAAAAGGTCGTAATAAAATCACACTAAGCATTTAATGTAGGCCGTGAACGCCACTTTTTCCAAATTAACAAATAAAACTAGTTTTCTGCAACTATATTTTCATAAAATTAAAAATAATAAGATTATATTATGTATAGTTTTACAAATTACTAGATAATAATAATACCTAAGTATCTACATAATTACATAATCACGCCAGGTGTTGGAAAATTCAACAATTTACGTACGTAAACGTCAATAAAGAAAAGTTTTTTGAAGTATGTAGTTAGGTACTGCGTTGTTCAATTTGTCAAACATCTGGTATGATTTAAAAAGAATAAACATTTTGATACGTGTCAACAAAATTTTATTATTCGAAGTTTTTTAGTGTCTACTAGGTACCAATTATTATTGTTATCGAGAAAAACCAAGAAAGGTGTCGCAAATTATAAAAAATTATAAATGATCGTGCAAAATTCAGATTTTAATGATGTCGTTTAATATGAATAAAAATAACTAATAAAAATGTAAATTTAATTATGGAAACCGTGCTTAAAAAAAACCCATTAGGAATATAATAATAATAGTTACCTAGGTATTATTATATAAGTATATTAAGTACAGTAATAATAATATCGTGGCCGGTGGGTACCGGTGTACCTACAGTTTGGTTAGCACGTCTGATACGAATATTACAATCTTATTTGTTCGTGTTATAATAATCAGAAGGTGGGAAAGTAAGATCTATAGGTAAATATTATTATTGTGCACACAAAGATTTTGCGTTATTCGCTATATTATAATGTACGGCGAATGATGGTGAGAAATTATTTTAAATTATAAACGTTAAATTGCGGTAAAAAAAATCACGGTAATACGTTTGATTTGAAAAATAAATAAATACAAATTCGATCTATCAGTGTCACGTGTTGAATGTTACAGCGTGCGTTTAGCGGTGGTTTGATTACGCTATATTATGCGCATTTATTACGCAGCGGTCACAACGCAATGCTGAGTGCCGGAGTAGTCGAATTACCCCGTCCGACTGGACCGGTAATATCAGAGGTAGAACAAATGAGTAGGTTCTAATCGGCAGAGTTATTCGTTGCAGTCGCGTTTTGAGGAATTTATTAAATGAAAATTCCGCGACTAGACGAGGGATGATCTGCCGCCGCAGCACGTGAATACCTACGCGATAACCGGGATCGGTCAGATCGAAACGGTTTGAGTGTTTGACCATCGAATTACGTTAAGAGGTAATAAAACGAAATGTATGATAATTATTAATAACTTGCCAGTTAAGCGTACCGGCTATACGAGAGAATCGATCAATGAACATAAATAATAATTACTAGCAGATTACAATATTCAATAGCAGCACAATAACGACGTGACAATTACTCCAACAGCTACAAAATTGACAACCACAGTACGCCAAAAAAAAAAATACAACTCGATTTACGTGGATTGAAAAAAATGTAATATAAACCTATAGGCTATAAGGTAGTAGACCCTACCTAGAATCGTAAATCATGAGATCGAGCTAAGCATATGATTGAGTGGTACACAGAAGTACAGTTATAGTACATAATATTGTCGAGATCTAAAAAATAATCAATAAATGAATTTCAGAAGACTGAAGAGAGAAGAAACGTAGCGTTAACTATATTTTTAAGGTCGGCTCTTAGCAATTGTCTGGGCAACCCGGCGGCTAAGACTGTTATCGCACTCGCATGCTCTGCCGAAAAGATAACGACTAGGCGGCGGCGTGTAATCTCTCGAGTGGCACACAAAATACAATATTATCATAGTGTTACTATATTATGAATAATTATGAATTGCGATTATGATTGGTATTATCTTTACGATTGTAATTAGTTACTGCTTACCCATTTCGGTTGTACTAGGTATACAATATCGTGGATCGGCGAGTCGAGTGGAGTGTGTTAACCCGACACGGTGACGGCGCGTAGCTTCGAACCACTACTTCTCAGGAGGAGTCTTGACGTACGAAACTCGCGACGTATTCGATTCGCCGTATGTGGATATTGTACGGTTATTAATCGTATCTTAACCGACGTTCTGTCAACGTTACACGACTAATAGGTATTTTATACTAAGATTATTGTAACACGCCGACACGACCGTATTACAGCTTTGGATTCGAACACGCGAATAATTGAAGTATCAACGCGTGAGGTTTAATGATAATATTATTACAATAGTGTTTGTTTACTCTTCAAAATATTCTTTGGCGATATTATTCGGACGGACGCCAGACACGACAGTGATGCAGACCTCGGCAGTACAGTCGCTTTAGCTATAGTCTTCTTTACTATGGCGTATACTAAACGCCAAACGGTCGTGAAACGAAAAGAGGAGATGAAAAAAAAAATTGGTAGAAAAAGTGAAGAAAAAACCGTTTCTACCGCGTATCGTCTGCGTCCGCGGGGGCCGGGGAGGTGGAACTATAATGGAACTGTGGAAGTGGCGTGACCCGAGGATAGTCGGTGGCGTGATACCAGAACGGGCATTCCGATTGGTTGAGGGATCGCATGCGCGCACGCGCACGATCGAGTCACCGAGACGCGCACGCGGTGCGTCATCGAGTCTTTGGTATCCTCGACCGCCGCGAATAGCGCTGCGCCGCAGCCATCGGATCGCAGTCTCGCCACAAGGTCAATATAACGACAAGGCGATATCTGCCGGCAGCGGAGGCGAGCGCAACAATTAATAACAATCGCGTAGTGCGACGCCAACACTGGGTCAGATTTTTGTGTTTATGTTTTCGTACTTCGTTTCGTCTCTTTTTCTACCCATCGACTCGCACTAAACATTTCTGCATTCGCCATTGTCTGAAACACGACGATTTTCGAAAGTGATTTCAAAAACCTAAACTGAGACCACTGCCTGTACCGCCACCGTTCCCCTAACACAATCCGACCACCCCCAGAATAATGGAATTCAAGAAAATCGTGCGATATTACGCAGTATGAATGTTTGAATGTTTGATCATAATATATTATCCTTAACCAACTGACAGAGGAGAGGAGTTCTCTTATATAAAAATTCCTTTAACTTTAGATTTCTATGTAATAGGAAATAATTTTACATTTGGATTTTTTATCAGCTCCAGAAAAATTTTATTCCGTTAGATTATGTAAGATCTTTATTGATCACAATTAAACGAATCGCAATTACGGTTTAAATATAAAATATTTTATCATTTAAGATTGCACGTAATTATGTATTAACATCTAATAGTTTATTATCCTAAATAAAAATAAGAGATAAAAAGACAATTTAATGTTCGTTATTATCAATAAGTATGATAAATATAAAATAATAATTAGTTTATTTAATTATTATTTACTGGTAAGGAACTCGACTTTTGGGAACTCTTGAGTGACATTATTTTTTTTCTTATACTAAACATTAATACATTACATAGGGAACTAATGTATTACTATTTACTAGTTATTACAATGCACGATTCACGGATTCAACTTCACTGATATTTCATAAAAACATTTTTATTTTGACATATTATGCACCTATATTAATTTTAAAAAAATTATGTGTTTAATGCTGTCTGCAAAACTCGAATACTCATTGTTTAAAATATATCATTCAATAGGTATACCTAATATAATGTTATTTGTTCAGGACAAATAATATTATAATCACTGAAGAACTATGAGTGTATATATTTGGTACACTTAAAGTATTTTTCCAAAATAATACATTTAAAAAAAAAAAAAACATACAAATTGAAATGAAGATAGTTTATTTGTTCAGCATAAAAAAACAATGTTGAGATGACTATTGACTAGAATTCATTTTTAGTAAAATGCAGATAAAATAAAATTACAATAAGTAATAATAATACCTAGTTAGAAAAACACCGTATTGGGTACCCTCTCTAGTCTATGTTCTATGGGCTATCACCAATGCTTCATTTTAATCTCAATCGAGTTCGATATTTGCAAAATTGTCAACAAAACTACTGACGCCATTGAGGCTTTATATATCATCAACAATAAAGTCGATTAAATGAAATGACGTAAATATATTTTTAATTACACATAATTTTATTAAAATATACTATTATACTTAAATGTTTAAATGATAGACAACTCTACATAATCTAAAAAAAAACTAAATTATATTTTAATCCTTTACAACAGTTTAAGATTTTTTTTTATTATTTATAACGAAATAAATAAATAATATTTTTTTAATCAGGAATTATTGCTGAATATTAATTTAGAGATTCCCGATAACTTTACTGTCTACAATGCATTATTTAGTTAACATTTTCATACCAAGATTGCAAGATCCCTATTATAATATGAAATAACGAGTCAATCGCCAGGCATTTAAAAATAGTATTAAATCTCATAAAATTTATACGTGTCAATATAATAAAATATAATATTATTATAGGTATTTTAAATTTAAACAGATTTTATCAATCAAGTCAGTTTTATTTATTTCGTACTGCATAATTATTGCAAAACAATATAAATTAATAGTATAAACGAACTACAATTATATGAAACACAAGACTTATTCAAAACGTGTTTACATTCCGTCTCATATTTAAAACTAGTTTTACGAACTTGATATATTATTCAAGTATAAATGAGCCATATGGTCAGCTATAATATTTTGTAGTGTATACAAGAGTAAAAAATTATGCCTACTATAATTTAGCAGGCAGTATGTTAATTATATGAATACTTAATTTTTATTTATGAACCTAATTCGCTGAAATCATTATCAAATTAATTAGATATAAACATATAAGTTTTATATTTAATATTTATGGTTAACGAAACAAGTCCGCGTGTCTACCTATAATAGTTCACGGATGAAGAATAACATATTATGTAAGTATTCCTTTATCACGATTAATATTCACGTGTACACAAAAATGTAATAAAATCACTGCGAATTATTCATATACAATTATTGAAACCATCGCTATAAATGCTATAATGTTGTAACGTCATAATAACGAAAAATAGATAAATAATACAGGAATATACTCTACACCGATATTCAACAGTAAGGAGGTAGGTCATCCGTTGTCCCCATTTTATTTTAACATTTTGGACAATGGATTTAGCAGATATTTGTTAATTAATTTCTATTCGTATTCTACATATTTGAGAGCAAACTGTTTCATTACATTTTACATACACCAATATAATATGTAATATGTACATATAATAATTAAATTACATAAATAGATGCAGTAGCGGATTTACGGGGGGGGGGGGGGGGGGGGGGGGGGGGGGGGGGGGGGGGGGCGGGGGGGGGGTCCAGGGGCCTGGACCTATATAATTAATTAATTAATTTTATAAAAATAAAAATAATACATTAGAAATACATATTATTTTTTTGCCCCCCCCCAGAAAATTTTTGAAAATTCGGCACTGAATAGATGTCAAAAATTAAACCCTAAAAATGTTGAGCTTATGCGATTATTATTTTCTGGTTAATAAGTTTACTAAAGTTACTAAGGTAACGTACCTACCATGTATGTCTCTACTATTTCAAAGAATAAATTATTATTATAGTGATCACTGATCAGTAATTATTGAACTTAATTTTTCACTATTAAAAAAATGATTTAATTTATGTTTATATTTTATAATAGAAATAAACTTAATTTTCTTATTTATAATTACATAATTTAGCCATAGAGGTTAGGTACTCATCTAGAATTTTAAGAAATTATAAATTTAAAATGTGCAACTCGGTATTATGTGACGCCAAATCTGTGCCTCGCGTTATATAATTTTAATGAAAAAGTAGATGCAAATGTGCAATAATATAAAAATTTTAAATTAAATAATTGTATATTGGTTGTTTTCTTAATTGTATTGTATTAGTGTATTAGTGTATTACTATAAATCATGACGTAGTACTTAACAATTATTATAATAATTCATTTATTTTATACATTGTCACAGCGATTGCTATTATTTAAAGTTTTAACTATATACCTAACATATATGTATAACAATCTGATATTCAGTATTATTTCTCAATATATATTAACTTTAATTCGTCAAATTGATAGAATCGTATTTTTATGGTCTGGTTTTATTAACAATATCATTTTACTTTCATCTTAAAATAATTTCGGATGAGTTACAATAATATATAATATGTGAAATGTCAATAGCAGATGCTTATCCCCTACTATTTAACTAAATATAAAGTTAAAAAATCCACAAATTAAAAGAAAATGATATCCGACAATAGTGATGCGTACAAAGGTCAAATAGAATTTAATAAAACCCATTTCGGGGAGAAAGTATTGTTCAGTTATAGATGATTTTCGAACACCGTTAAAAATCAATACACGTCTTTTCGGTATAAACGCTTAAGTAAACCGGAAGGAATTTTTAACAAACAGCGCATAGATATATATCACCTAGTATACATACTCCGTACGCTTTTATCGACAGCATTGTATAGGAGAGGAGAGAATTAAGTATAATATAATGTGACATATTATTGTAAATAAATTCATATGTAAACAAATAATGTAAATAATAAATACGTATATTATATTGCAGTAGTAGATAGGTATGTAATATTGCTCATATAGTTTTATAGGTAATAATCTGACGAACCACGAACAATGAAAATAGATGTACCCCGATTGCACTATAGGTGCGAATAGTAATGAGTATAATAATATTAAATATTATAACAGCATTTGGGATAAATTCAACTCACTTTCTAGTTTCTACATAGGCGAGATGGATTAACTATTTTCAAGTGGCTAAAAGAAAACAATTATTTCATTCGATCGGTGATCATTTACCTACGCACACGCATTTTACAATACGACATTGAATACCTAAACTTATAAGATAAGTTTTCACTCGCGGTCTGTCCGTTTTAATTACACAAGGGCGTCGGAATGATAAAACGGAAACATTATAGTTTCTAATCAGCATTCGATAATATATTATTATATCGCTTTTGGTTATTAGACCATTGCAGTTTGTCCGATAACTTTTTATATCAATTATTTGTTAGGTAGGTATAGTATTATAATATAATATTATAGTGAATCGTACATAATATTAATTTTTTATTCGTATCAACAGATTAGGCTAAAGTTAATTGTATCTATAGGTACAGTCATACAGTCATACAGAAGTTGAGAAATACATTATATGCATATTAGTTTCGTCGTGGCCAAATTTAAGCGTAACGCATATACAGTAGGATAGGTACACGCAATTCAAATACAAAATTGAAAACAATTATTAATAAGAATATATATTTAGAAAAAATATTGTATTAATGAAAAATCTTCAGTGAACAAATATCGATATTATATTATCATAAATTATTTTTAATAAGATATATTGACTAAATTATTCAATGTTTAAACACTATTATAATATAAGGGCATAACGCGTTACGGTATTTAGACGAAATAACAGAACTTATAACATAAGAAATTATTATACAGTAAAACTTCCATTAACGGTCACCTCTATAAGGCGGTCACTTCTATGTAACGGTCAATTTTTTTGGTCCCGTCGAGTGTTATCCTAGTGTTATCCTACCTCTGTAGGACGAGCACCTCTAAATAGCGGTCATTAATTAAGGTCCCTTCGGTGGCCGTTATATTGAAGTTCTACTGTATATTATATTTGTTAAGTACCTATTTGTTTTACAATTATATTTTTATAAAACTCC